GCGGCTCACGTACTCGCTTACGTAACGAGGGGCCGGCCGCCAGGAGTCGCCGGCAACACGGGAGACCAGGAGGGCCGGGGAGAGGACCGTGAGGCGGGCGGCAGGCCGCCAGACGGGTAACACCGCTGCCGAGTGTGACTGAAGAGAGAGAGAGAGAGAGAGAGAGAGAGAGAGAGAGAGAGAGAGAGAGAGAGAGAGAGAGAGAGGGGGGGGGGGAGAGAGCGAGAGAGAGAGAGAGAGAGAGAGAGAGAGAGAGAGAGAGAGAGAGAGAGAGAGAGAGAGAGAGAGGGAGAGAGAGAGTCAGCAGACCAGGAGCGTGGCAAACGTCGCGCAGGGGCCCGGCAGGCGGGCAGAGCGCCGGGATCGGGCAGCGGCTGCAAGTCTGACGGCGGCTCCGGGGCCGGGCAGCGGGTCAGGGGTCAGGCAAGTGACCCGGGAGCCGGGCGGAACCCACCACCACGCGTCAGGGGTCATGCCCGTGTCACCAGCGCCGTGGAAGCGTTTCATTAGAGCGTCCGTCACGTGTCCTCCTTACAGACGGGTTTATTTTTTAACGTGACGGCGAGTCTTATCTGATGGGCCGACACCAGCCCCGGCGACGCATTTTCGTGCCGCCGCGTCGCCTCCCGGCCGGCGAAGGCTCGCCAGGCCGCCATTTCTGGCGGGGCGCGCAGCCTGACCTAGCGCTGACGTCATACCGCGCGCCGGTGACCTCTTGCCAGGCCATACAGCTGACATGTGTGGCTGGCGTTAGCCACGGGGCGTCCAACCGGTTCTCGGGACGGGCCCGGCCGGCAGCGCCGCCCAGCGGCCGGGCGGCGAGACACGCCGCGAGGTGCGAGCGGCCGCCGTCTGCGCGTTGCCTCGGCGCGCCAGCCGGGCGCGCGGCGCGGCACCCATCGGCCTTCGGCTGCGGCGCGGCACGGCACCGACGCGCCGCGCTCGTATTATACATTCGTCGAGGAGGGCGCGGCGTGCGGATCGGCCTCGAAGGCGGCACGCGGGTCCGGGCCGCCGGGCGGCGCCAGGACGGCCCGGCTCGCGCCCCGCCTGGCGCCGCTGACGACTCCGACCCCTCCCCCCGCCCAGGCCGTCGGCAGGGAACGGGCGGCCGGATCGGGTGACGCGTGCCTGTCGTGGCTTGTGTCGCGCCCGGGCCGGCACGGACACCTGTGTCGCTCTCGGGGACGCTCTCACTCGGAGGGCCGAACCCGGCCCATCCTGGTTACGCGCTTGCCGCTCCGGTGCCACCGACAGGCCCGTGGGACTCACTATGGGCAGAGTTTCCAGGACTCAGTCCAATCCAATCCATTAATCCGGAATATGCTCCGCCCGCGTATCCGCCTGTTTCACGAATTCTAAAACCAATGCGGTCCTAGCTGTCAAAACGGGGATATTTCTTAGAACGGTCCGTCATTCTGGTGCGGTTAGGCCAATTCCGACTCTAAAATTCAATTCGACTCCAACTAAGGGGTGGATTATGACAGAAATGAGCACATGTGCTGCTTCATAACTTTTCAATCCGTTTCACTCCATTTGGGTGGGGCGATTTTTCAACCCGACCCAGCCAACCCATACGTCCAGGAAATTTCCCCATCATTCCACCTCAATCCATGAGTTAATCTTAAATCCACGGATGCATCCAGCACGTGAACAGTCCTACTCCCTCGTCAGCCCCATCAAACTGAACACTGGAACGCAGCGCGTCAGACACAGGAACGAAGCCGGGTCACCGAGTGTGCCGCCGCCGGCTGGCGCCGTCTCCGCGTCGGCCGGCGGCGGTCCGCGGCGTCCGGCAGCCATCTTCTGACTGACGACCGGCGCCGGACGCCGTCCGGCTCGGCCCGCTCCATCGATCGCCCCTCTCGCTGTGCATGCGGCGCTGATGGCGGCGCCGGCGGCCGCGGCGAGCGGCGGCGAGTGGCGGCAGTGGCGGCGCGGGGCGCTCCCCGCGACCGGCGCTGAGCGCGGCGGGCGCGCGTCAGCGGGATCGCCGCCGCTCGCCGCCGGCCCGGCCTCGGCCGTCAGCCAGAACATCTGAGCGACGCAGGCCGGTCGAACGCTTTGATAGGAGTCAGCTGAATGAAACTGAGTTGGCGACCTGAGGGACCTGCGGCGTGATAAGGTGCTGTGATAATGCGATGTGATATTGCGGGCAGAGCTGCAGGCGGCGAAAAGAAGCCCTTCGCGGCGGTGCCCCCACCTTTCGATACAAAACAGGCTGTATCCAGCGCTGGACGACGGGTTCGTGACCCGCATCTTTATGCATAAGTCGGCCGAAGACTGAACAATGAGCGGTGGCGAAATCCAAAGGTCTGGATCGAGCAAACTGACTGCAAGCGAGTCCCGGCACCGTAGCGATACCAGCACGAGTACACCTACCCTGCTCGCAGCATTGGTAGAGCGCCGTTCCCAGAGCCTCTCTGGCAAACGTATCTCACGCGCTCGGCAGGTCTGTCGTCAGATTGTGACCCTGGCGGTGCCCTCCCGGCCGGGGCTCCGCGCCGGCGGCTGGGGTCACGGACCGGCCGTGCCAGGCGCCGGCGCCGCCGAGGGCCGGCCGTCCGGCGCCCCATTCAGCGCGCGCTGCAGCAGCCCGCCGCCGCCACGGTCAACGCAATTACCCCGCCCATTCATCAGGCCGGAATTTCAGGGGCATCCGACCTATTTTCGCGGCGGCGGCGTGCATCGGCTTCCCACGCCTCTCGATTTCGACCGGAAGCGGGCCAGCGGCGCCAGGGAAGCCGTGGGCCGGGCGGGACCGGGCGGCGCGCGGTGGTGCGCGCCGCCGCCCGGCGCCCTGACGCGCTGCATCCGGCCGGCCCGGCCCGGCCCGGCCGTTCCGGGAACAACTGCGCAACATCGCGCCGGCCGAGAGCCGGCCGACGGGCAGCGGGCGGCGGCGGCGCGCGCGCGCGGGCCGCCGCCCGCCACCTATCGCTATCTGTCGCCTATCAGTGGCGTGAATCACATACGCTGGGCAAACAGTGCTATCTAGGCCGGCGGCGCGGGCCGGGCGCGGCCAGCCCGGCACCTGGCATCCGCCGCTGGCCCGTCCCCGCGCCGCACACTAACGGTCTCTGGACGCTCGGCTGCCCACGAGCTGCCCTAGCCCACATCGCAGCCACCCACAGCCCGTCACCCGACACCTGAGGGGGGCATTCCCCGCATGGCCGCGCCTGTGTGATGAGTTTTCGTCCCCGGTGGGTCACTGCGAGCCGGCGAGACGGCTGACGCCGGGCAGCAGCGCTGCCTTCATATCAACGGCCTTCCCAAGCCTCAGCAGCCTTGAGACCCCCTGTTCAGCGTGCCAGCGGGTTCACAATCGGCCCGTCCACATACCTATAGGAATTATCCCGTTCACCTGCAGCTCTAAAATCAAACTAAATTCGTTTTAAGAGTAGGCGGGGATGTAAACGCCGCCGCACTGCAGCAAATGGAGCCGAGAGCAGATAAGAATGCACAGTTTAAGGACTTCGCCGCCCGGCCAGCTTCAGCGGTCTGCTGAACTGGTGAGCCGGCGCGAGCGGCCTTGCCCTGCCTGGCCGGGGAAGCGCCGCGGCCGACGGCGGCTGAGCGGGCCGGGCTGGGCTCTCAGCCGGGCGGGCGTCGGACGACCGGGGCGCTCTCGCCAGCGACCGATCAATGGCGAGCCGGCGCCGTCGGCAGCGCCGCCGCGGCCGGCCACCGAACTGGCGGAGACGTCCGCCCCGGCCCGGCCAGACAGCCGCCGAACTGGCGGAGACGTCCGCCCCGGCCAGACAGCCGCCGAACTGGCGGAGACGCCCGCCCCGACCAGACAGCCGCGGAACTGGCGGAGACGCCCGTCCCGGCCCCGCCAGACAGCCGCCGAACTGGCGGAGACGTCCGCCCCTGCCAGACAGCCGCGGAACTGGCGGAGACGCCCGTCCCGGCCCCGCCAGACAGCCGCCGAACTGACAGAGACGCCCGCCCCGGCCAGATGGCCGCCAAACTGGCGGAGACGCCCGCCCCGGCCAGATAGCCGCCGTACTGACGGAGACGCCCGCCCTGGCCCCGCCAGACAGCCGCCGAACTGGCGGAGACGCCTCCCCCCCCCCCCGCGGTCAGAGCCGTACTGACGGAGATGCCCGCCCCGGCCAGACAGCCGCCGTACTGATGGAGACCCCCACCTGGCCAGACAGCCGCGAAACTGGCGGAGACGCCCGTCCCGGTCAGAGCCGTACTGACGGAGACGCTCACCCCGGTTAGAGCCGTACTAACGGAGATGTCTACCCGGTTAGAGCCGTACTAACGGAGATGTCTACCCGGTTAGAGCCGTACTAACCGATATGTCTACCCGGTTAGAGCCGTACTAACGGAGATGTCTACCCGGTCAGACAGCCGCTCAGCTGGCAGACAGCTGACATCGCTTAGCTGTCTCAGCCTTCCTGGCCTGACAGCTTGCATACCCACACACAGCGGCCATTGTTCATTCTAGCTGTATTGATCATATACAGCCGGTACATTTATACATACATGTACAGTTATACATACATACAGCGCACTGCATTATTTGTAATTAGCAGTACAGCCAACAAACAAGGCGCAGACTGCGGCGGGCGGGCCCGCGTCGCCAGCAGTGGGGACTAGATAATACTGTATAACTGGGGGTAAGGGACACTCCTCCAACACGTGACGGGGTGTCGGGAGGCGGCTGGCGGCTCGGTTCCCTGATATCGTGAGGACATTTCGGCAGGACGCGGGCGGGTCCGGGTGGCGGCTGTTCAGACTGCGCTGGGTGGCGTGGGCCGCCGCCGCAGCCAGACGGACAGCCAGACAGACAGACGGACAGGGACACCCGGCAGGGTTGGCCCCGGAACCGAGACACCAGAACTGTGGAGGGAGCTCTCAACTGCGGTCTACGGGAGGGAGGGAGGGAGGGAGGGAGTCAAGTAGGTGGGCAGAGGGGGATGGAGCGAGCGAGGGGAAAGAGGAATGGTTGGAGGGAGAGAGGAATGAATGGAGGGAGAGAGGAATGGAGGAAGGAAGAGAGAAGGACGGAGGGGCAGGTAGGCAGAGAGGGAGGGAGCGAGGGGGAAGAGGAATGGAGTGAGGAAAGGACGGAGGGACGGAAGCAGGGAGGCACGGGAAGAACGAGAAAGAAAGAGCACGGGAGGAAGACAGAGACGCCCCACGCAGCGCAAGAGCGGCGGGCGTATCGCTCATCGTTTGAAATGTACGTTGCCTTGCTCGGCGAGTAGTGAAACATTCACTCGCGACCAACAAGGGAACCGGGCTACTTGCGACTGAACAACTTGTTCCGTCCCGAAGGGAAGTGGCTGGAGAATTCGGAAGCTGCTCCCCACGGTTCCAGCGGGCGACCGAATAACCCCGTGTCCCGAACCCACCAGGTCAGAAGGGGGCATGGCAGGCATGAGCAGATACGGACCCTCACAGACCAGAATAAGCAAAACGACGGGGAGGCGCGCGGCTGGCGGGTCGGCATGTTTTAACGGAGAATGACTAGCACTGGGTCACGCGCAGAAAATTCTAGCTATTGCGCGAATAAATACTCCATAGCAAATCTTGTACATCGCCGGTTTCCAAAGTAAACCCACCATATAAATAAATAATTTCTCTACATCTGGATGTACAAAATATACAGACCATGCCTGCTGACTATGTAATATCCGATACAGCCCCAACCCCGGGCCCGCCTCGACTGCGGCCCACAGCGCCGGTCACCCACACGCACACGCACGCACACGCGCATAGCTCGTCCGCTCGCACGTCCGGCGGTCACACCCGCTCGCACCTACCCGCCCACACGCCCACTCGGAGAATCACAGATATGCGCGGCCGGCGACAACGGCAGCGGCGGCGGCAGCGGCGGCGGCGCCCCTCACCGCTGGAGCAGGCCGTCCGCTGGACACGTGCAGCCGTGGCTGGTGCTGCGCTGGTAACACTTCTCCACCAGTTTGACACCGCCGCGCAGCGGCCAGTAACACCAGAGACAGGGCAGCACAGCGGAGAGCAGCGCCAGACCGCCCCAGCGCAGGCAGCAGGCGGCGCCGCCGCCGGCGCACGAGCACGGCCGGTCGGCGCCCCGTGAGCCGCTGTCCGACGTCGAACAATGGTAGCCGAGTGCCTTCACGCAGCACAGGCACGACAAGCAGTCCACGCACGTCTCCGACGAGAGCACGCACTTCTCGCCGCAGAGCAGGTGCTGCGGCAGCGGGCGCGGCGTGCGACACGCCTCGCAGCGACACTGGCCGCACGCCGCGCACACGAACGAGTCCGGCAGGCTGGGCTCGCGCTCGCCGTCGGCCGCCGCCGGGTCCGGCTTCAGCGGCGCCGGCTGCCGACTCACCGGCTTGGTCGGGCTCTGCTCGGCGCGCCAGCCGCAGTGGGCCGGCTTGCCGGGCGCGCGGGCGCGACCGCGACCGCGCGCGCCGCCGGCGCCGGCCGCCGCCGCCGCCGCCGCGCCCGGCGTCGTCGAGTAGATGTTGGAGGCGCGCAGCTGGTCGGGCCGCGGATGCTGCAGCGTGACCCTCGCGCCGCGCGGGCGGTCGCGGCGGCGGCGGCGGCGGCGGCGGAGGACGATGCACGGCCGCCAGCGCCGGCAGAGGGGCGGCCGGCCGGCCGGGCGGCCGCGGCGCCAGCGCGGGCTGCGCGACTGTGTGGCCATGATGGGCCATGAAGAGTTACACCCTCATCCAGAGAGAGCCATGGAGCCTCAGAACCTGAAAAGACACGGCGGGTGTCAGGCGGCGGCGTGGCAGTCGACTCGGGCGCGCCGGCGGCGGCCGCCGAGGCCAGCTGGCTGGGGCCGCGACAAGCGGCTGGCAGCCGAGCCGGACCTGTGACGCGGCCAGCCGCGCCAGCGCCATCTGACGGCGGCGATATTCCGCCAGCATTCAACACCGACACGGAGGCACTCACGACGGCTGGGAGCGGCCACCGAGTACGAGCCACCCGCAAGCATGACAAGAATGCTGCACGAGGCAGCGCGAGTGGCGCGGGAGATGATCCTCACATCAAGTGAGAACACCGAGTGGCAAGCGATCGCGCGAGGACACAGACCGGATGTTAGGAATGCAGTGTCGAGTGGGATAAGAAGAAGCCCTGTCGGCCGCGGACGGCGGAAGGACGCAGCCTCAGCGAAGGAAGTTTCATCATGCACGGAAAATGCCGAGTGCAAAGTGCAGCTTAATAAGCTGCGGCCAGATTACAACATATGGAAGCTGACAAGCCATTGGGGGACTCGAGCGCCCCCGAGGCAGAAAATGAGCTAATGCTAGAGGCCCGGCGGTCCCGGGCCGGTGGATTAAGGATGCGGCGAAGGGAGCAGGCAGCTGGCGCTGCCAACGCAGACACAAACCAGACCAGCGGGCCGGCGAAGCCGGCACCAGACGACCGATAGCTGAGCCGGCCTCCAGACCCGCACTCCCTGGGGCACGGCTCTATTTACATTTGAGCTCGGCGTGGCCGGCTCGGTGCAGCCGACTCCCGGCGGCGGCAGGCGCTCATTAGCCGAGTCACAAAACGCCTGCTGCGAGAGCCGCGGCCGGGGGCGCCTCCCGACCGCGCCATCTCCGCTGACGCTCGGCTGACAGTGACGCTCATCAGCGGTATCGATCGTAATCCGCAATTAACCGCTTACGTCGGCTGCCGACCGCAAAGCTCACTCCACGTCGGAAGCCCCGGTTCGCGCCTGTTGACACGGCAAAGCAAGCACGACGCGGCCGCGGCCGGCGCGCGCCCGGCGGCCTGCTCCCATTCCCGGCGGCCTGTGGGCGGCCGGGCGGCCAGCGGCGGCCGCGCCAAACCGCCATGTTAATCGGCGCCAAACAATGTACACGCTCCGTACGGGAAGGTCTGCGGCGGAGCGAGCTGCGCGCATGCGACGCCGGCCGAGCCGCGCGCCGGCGGCCGCGCGCCGGCCGACGGGCGCATTCCTCGCACGGCGCCCGGCCTGCCTGCCATCTTTTCAATGGGCCGCCAAGGTCGCCCGGCCGCGCCAGGCCGGCCGCTGAGGTCGCCGGCGGCCGGGCGCCGGCCCCCGCCGACCGAGCACCTGCGCACGGCGCCGGCCGGCCGGGCGCCGCGGCGCCGGCGCCGGCCCCGGCCGCCGGGCCGCCGGGCCGCCGCCTCCAGCCAGCTGCCGCGCTGATGAGACTATTGCCGGCGTCCCGGACCGGTATGTCGTGTGTGAGGGGGCTGTTGTCGTGGTGGAGCGGCGGCCACATGACATGACACTGCTTCGGAGGCTGCACCGCAAAAGGAAGAGCGCAAGCCGACGGGCTTCATTCAATGCCCCCGGATTTTCAGATGAGGCAGGACCAATGCTCTACCATCGACACATCATGCATAAATGTATTGTCATATGCATACATGCATCGCACGAAACATCCCAGGTCCGTCCGTAGGGGACCAACAAATAAGCGGAGTCGACCACTGGTTTTCCAATTGCACGTCATGCCGCGCTTAAGGATATAGCTTGTCATATTTTGGAGAATTCAGGTGAACATCCCACCCATTATCACTCCCCAATTTGTACATGGGGCGGATGGACGCGGCGACGAAAGAAGCGTTACAATCCTGGTGCGACCCTACTGTTTTCTTTCCAATGGCGACGCACCTGAGAGCGACCGTAAGGTACTGCCGGAACAGCGTTATTCTGTTGCGCCAGCGGCTCATTCTCAGTTAACAGACGACAGGTGAATGGGACAACTCATCGTGCCGTCGCTCATAATGGAAACGTACACTGCGGCCAAGGTTTTTAGTCACGCCAACGCCAAAATGAAAAGGACTTCCCACGAATCCGCGGCGCGTGACATCGGCGTTTGCAGCTGTATGGCGAGGGCGGCTAGCCGTTTAATCTCCTTCTCTCAGCTCAACCGGAACAAACTGTCCGACCGCGCGAAACGCCGCCTCCTGGAAAGGCGCCCTGCGCAAGCGCCACGGAGTCCTGGCCCCTCGAGCCAAGGAAATGTTGCTCAGCAGCACTGTGCTTCGGTTAGTGTGGTATTCGTAGGCGCCACGGAGTCCTGGCCCCTCGAGCCAAGGAAATGTTGCTCACCAGCACTGTTCTTCGGTTAGCCTGGTATTCCAAACATCTCGGGCGCACCTTTACGAGACACGCTCACTGTTTCAGCGTCCAGCAGATGCAACGAAACTTAGTTTAAATGTTAATTTCACACTTGCTTCGACCGAACGCCGTGCAGAAGAAGCCTTGGTGCGATCTGGCAGCGCTGCGGACGGCGTTCGGCGGCCGGTCCGCCGCTGTCCGTGCCAGCGCCCGCGCCCGCCCCCGCGCCCATGCCCGTGTCCGTGTCCGCGCCCGCGCCGTGTCCGTGTGTCTGCTCGCCGCCTCCCCATCACCCGCCTCTACCCCCTAGCCCACCGGGCCGCATTCTTCTCGGAGCCTCCCGGCGTCTCGCCCACGGCGTCGGCTCCAATCCGCGGCGAGGCGCCTGCGGCGCGGCCGGTCCAGCTCGGCAGGACGTGCCGGCTGCGCGAGGCGCGCCCGCACTGCCGGACACGGGCGCGTGACGAGCGCCGGCGGCCGCGACGATCGGCGCCGGCGGCCTCTCCCAGGCCCGGCCGGCATACCGAGCCCGACGAGAGCAGCGCCCGCAGGAATCCGCCCGCCGCGCCGCCGGCCGCGGCCGTCACACCTCGCACGCCGCGGCCGTCCAGCCGGCGCGGCGCGGCACATTACGGGGCGCCGTGCACTGGCGGGTCACGTCCTTTTGCGTGGGCGGGGTCGGGCGTCACGCCGCCGCAAAGGGGCCGTCATGTCACGCCGCGTGCACATCATTCCGCGCATCGGAACGAGGCGTGGCGATCGGTGCACGGTCCAATGAGCGCGGCACGTCCGGTGCGCGGCTGATGGGCGCCTGACCCGGCACCCGGTTACGTCCGGAATAGTTGGTGGCGTTGGGCAGCCCGCCGGCGACCGATCCAGCGCCTCGCCTGCCCGTCGAAGGCCCGCACGGGAGCCTCGCCGTCAGCAGCGCATCACGGCGCAGGACATTTCTCCCGCTTGGCCTGGTGCGGGGTCCACGTGCGTGAAGGCCGACTGCGCCCGAGGCATCGGTCGCGCACGGGTGTCTGTTGATGGACCAGTGGTGATCGCTGCATCAGCTCCGGGGATTCCAGATTCCCATAATCTTTGCTTTTGAGCCGTCCAGACATCCCTGGAGGGTTGTGCACGTCGCGTCGTTCAAATAGAGCCGACAGCTGACATCTTGTTGAAGCGCTAATCACGCTGCATACTGCATAACCAGCTGACTAAAAACGCTGCCTAGATTCCAGTCCCTCAGCCGCGACCACGACGCGCATCGCAAACAAACTGGTCTGCAAGGTTCAAAAGATCTGTCGCATGGTGAAAATACACTTATCTGGGCCACACAGTGGGACTCCCGGAGCAACCCGGACACTAAGGCTTACCGGTTATCCACTTAACCAGGTGGACGATCATAGCAGGGGCGGCACGTTCTGAACGCAAAAGCAGCTCACTGTATCTTGAGCGAAGCTGAACAGTAGCCCCCAAAATCGTACCACTACAGCAGCGTTCCACAGAAAACAAAATCGCTTAATCGCTTCGTTCCCGCTCCCACTTTGCGAGTGCTGCCACCGCCCCTGTCAAATAGCCACATTTTCGCCGAAAAGTGGACCTCCTCGGACACGGAGGGCTGAGCCGTGACGGCGAGCCCAGCGGATCAGGCGGATCACGGCTGTGTGATCCGGGCTGCGGACACGGCGCAGCTGTGCAGACGGCCCCCCGAGCCGCGCCGGCTCACGTGCCGTGTCGCCTGGTCCGCCGGGGCAGAGAAGAGGCCGCAGACCCGTGGTCTGGTCTAGCGGGGACACCAGAGGCTGCAGACCCATGAGAAGAGGCCGCAGAACCATGACAAGAGGTCACAGACCAGAAGCCAGAGGCCGCAGGCCCGTGGCCACAGGCCGTAGACCCCTGGCCACAAGCCGCAGACCCGTGGCCACAGGCCACAGACCCGTGGCCACAGGCCGCAGACCCGTGACCGGAGGCCGCAGACCCGTGACCGGAGGCCACAGACCCGTGGCCTGGCGCTCGCGCCGGCCGCTGTCGCTATGCCGTGGCGGTCGTACAGCGGCGGTGCTCGATAAACAGGCGGGCCGGCGGGCCGTGTTTATTTGAGTTGGCCACTGCGCCGCCTGCGGCGCGGCACGCCGCGGCCAGCGCCACATGGCCGGCTGCGCCCGCCCCACTTCCGGCCCGGCCCAGCTCGGCCCGGCCCGACCGGGCGCGCCCGACACGACGCCGTTCACGCAGCGGCGCGCCGGCAGACGCAGCCACGGACGGGGCGTCGAGCTGCCGCAGCTAAAGCCGGCGCCGGCCGAAAACGCTGGTGGGTCGGAGAGGCGCCACAGGCTTGCGTGAGGTCGTGTTCTACCAAAAAACCGGTGTAGTCGCCCTGTTCTCACCGAGAACATGCTACTGCGTCGGTAGGGCTGCAGAAGCAGACACCAGCAGCGGAGGCACGCGGCTGTAGTCCATGCGCTCGTGTTGCATTGGAGATGACAGTACGTCAGTCCGCGCCCGACAACACCACCGTTCCTAATGCCGGCGGAGCATTATCTAGAGTGTATCCGTGCTGCTAGTGGGGCAGCAGCTCGACCAAGTGCTTGCCATTAGACTTTCACGACGGGATTGCCTTAGATGAGCTCCCAGCAGATCCTCCTCCTATGCTTACAACGGCCTTAAGGCACTGTAGCTTACCAGGCGGACCAAATACAAAATGAGACGATAAATGAGACGAAAAAAGCCAGCTCACCATGTGCAACACACTAACGCAATCAATTATTACTGGAGATTTTCTGGAGATAATCACATGACAGGCGTCGACAACACACGAGTCGCCCGACGGGATACATCATAATATGAGACAGTAGTGTAATTCCCGTCCAGCTACCAGTAGCAGCCCGTGTCTCCTTTTGAGGCCGGTTCTCCCTAGCTCTGAACATAGACGTGTGCTTCCGCAGATAACCCAATTTTGAGGAGGGTCGTGGGAGGATCGCGCAGGATCGTCCCAGTGATTCTGTGCGAGCAATGAACGCTGCATGGCCCGCAAACTGATGCGCTCCAAAATCCCATCTTTCCATTCCTTCCTCACCACTCTTTAACATCATTATCAAAGCTAAGCAGTACATACCATTGTGCACTTCATCTTTCACAACGACGGCAACCACAGAGTCAGGCTACCAAGCATATCCTGCAGTCATGCTTCTATGCCGATAGCTTTTTTCGGAGTCTGCCCGAATGCAGTGCTCACCTGTTTATGGAAGCCAGCCGTCTGTCATTCCTGGAACTCCATAGTCCTGAAACAAAACAAAATTTCGTAAACGATGTGGTCTGAGCTACGTCCTTAACCTCATTTCACCTCTTCAGGTGATGGCTAACCGCTGAGAGATTAGTTTCTGGCTGAATTACAACGCCACATTTTTCAATCATGCTTCGTTAACAAGCCTGCAATAAAATGTGACAATAAACATCCACCCAAAGCGGTATCGTAAAGGGCAATGCAATGTCTTTGATATACATGCCCCCGCGCCATTTGCCGAAACAATACAACGTCCAAATTGCCGGTAAATTACGTTGCAGTTGGTGCATTTACTACTGCTGGTGCCACACTTCAGCAAAGACCAGCCGCTTTGCTCTAACCATCAATCGCGATCGCCTAATCGGTATAATAATCACGAGTGACTTGTGGTTCTGACCGCTGCCACTGATCGGACGACCACCCCCAAACGAGCGGGCAGAAGCTGCCCCCACGGTACCCCACAGCCTTACGTCAAGATACAAACAAACAAGCGGTGGGGCTTCACGCTAAGAGGTGGGTGGGATTTCAAGCTAAGAGGAGAGAATACGACTATCGCTCTCGGCAAGACGGCCGGCCATCCAGGTGCTCGCATATCCGAACCAGACACCGATTGGGAGACGCGTACAGATATACGACAGGTTCGTAACGTAGCAACGTTGCGGACAGTGGGCCAAACCCCACTTTGAAACAATTCTTTCCGCGCATCACTGTGGGACTAATGTGAATATTTCACGAAATGGGTGGGCTACGGCTCATCCAATCCACCCATCATCTACACCCATGGGACAAGCGGCTGTCCAATCGAATCTTTTGTGCACAGCTGTGCCACCGACGACGGGTACGACGCGGGTAGTCATACCACAGCGTGCCACCCAATCAACGACGCCAAACTCAAACGGAAATAAAACCGGCAATGGCGTAAGGGCCAGGCCAGCTGGTCCCCGGTGCCCCGGCTAATCAGACGCTCCGATTTCTGAGGTGGTTGCAATGCGTGGTCTCGCCATATCGAAGCTGAGCGTATCTCTAATCTGCCGGCGCTCAGCTGAGCGTAGTTGGCCACTGAGTCTGCCAAGCCAGCCCTCGCAGCAGCAAGGCAACCCCGACTGAGCACGGCGATAGATCACAGTGCAGCAACCGCAAAGCCTCCAATCGACAAAATCCCAATTACCAAAGCACCTGAGTGCGAGGGAGCTTATCCCGCAACTCGAAGATCGCGCCACAATCCAGCCTTCGCTTCGCTGCGCTGACAGACGCGTCAGCGACAGCGGAAGCCGGCGATGAAGCCTCCGTCGCCAGGCGAACTATATCACTAGCCAGCCAGCCGTCCCACCGGGAGCCAAGAGTCACCAGGGGAGATACGTCGTCAGTCGGCGAGTCGACCCAGTGGGAGCTAAGCGCCACCAGCTGGAGAATGTCGTCAGTTGAAGAGCCATCCTGGCGGGAGCCGGGAATCACCAGCTGGAGGATGTCGTCAGCCGGCATGTAATCCCAGAGGGAGCCGGGAGTCACCAGCTGAGACAGCCTTCAGTCTCGTCAGAGCCCTCTGAGGGAATCCTCCGAGGGCTGGTAATCCAGAAGGAGCGGCAGCACCAGCTGTGGATTGGAAGCGATTCCAAGAGCGCGCACGTGCGACCAGCGGCGCCCTACTACAACAGGGAGAGATCGGCTGATCTCGCGAACAGCCTCTCCTCTGGGTGAGCGCACATAGGCCGCACGTGAGAGCGGGCGGCGCCCTCTCCCAGCAGGGAGAGATCGCCAGCGCCCACGAGCGGCCTCTCCTCTGGGTGAGCACAGATGCCGCACGGGAGAGTGGGCGGCGCACTCCTTTATCATGGAGAGATCCACTGGTCCCGCGGGCGGCTACGATGTGAGCACAAGTCGCTGGTGCAATGTTTGACCAGGTTGTCCAGTTTTGTTTTCTATTCTCGCGCCTCATCAACAGCGTCTTACAGCAGCGTCAGCGTCCTTTGGCACTTAATACGAATCTGATGCCCGGCACAGATCCGACGGGATCCTGTGAAGTCACAGTCACTCCGCGTAGCGTCGATTTATTTCCAGCGAGATAGTGAACAAAATTGCTCACAATGCATCAGATATTGCAGTTTAAATGCTTTGGCAGCGCTTGCCTCCCCCCAAATCCTAGTCCCGCCAAAAATCCTGTGAGCTATTTATCGTCAAAGGGGACACCTGCACCATGTATTGATGCTCCCGGCAGGTTGCATGGCCTGCGAAGGGCTCACCAAGCGTGTCGTTGATGGCGGGCAGAGGCGCCGGCCGCCTGCGAGGCGCGGAGGATCGGTGCCGCTCGTGGCAAGCAGCATGCTGCAGGATCACGGCCGCCACCCGGCCGCCACCCAGCCGCCGCCGGCCGACAGCCAAGGCCGGTCGGCCGGCCGGCCGGCGAGGCGGGCGCGTGCGGCGGCCAGCGCGCTCCCTCGGCCCCGACCCGGGCCGCCGGTCAGCCGGGGCCGCGCCTCGCCCGGCGCCTCGCTCGGCGCCTCGCTCGCCTCGGCCGGCACATCGGCCGCCGCCTCCAGCACGGTCACGGGGCACGGCGAGCGTCGGCGCGCGCCGGGCCGTGACCGAGCCCGGCGACAGCCGGCCCCACAGCCTGCACCAAGAGGGAGCCGCGCCGCAGCCCGCGGAGCTGCAGCGGCGAGTCCGCGCTGAGAGGAGCCGCCGCCGCCGACCGGCGCCGGCACGGGCCAGAGCCGAGCTGTCTGCCGCCGCTCGCCGCCCCGGCATAACAGCCCGTGTATATGCTACCGGTTGTTGACATCTGCAGTTGCGCTGTTTGGGCAGCCCGACGGTGGACAGGCGCGCGGCCGCCTGTCCCCGTTACGACGCCGCTGGAGCATTCGGATGCCTTCGGGGTGGCGAAAGGTTCCGATAAAGCGCAAATGAACAAGTTTGGTCGTGACTGATAAGCTCACTAGACGGGGTTGAATTGAGACAGAATCCGTAAAGTGATGATGTCAGCACGGAGCATGCATGCCAGCGGAGTCGAATTCTTTGAAAATTTACGTCAGTGAAGAGTCTGAACTGATAAGAGGAAGTTGAGATGAAGTTGTCAGCGAATATACCCCAACTCAATGCAGTTAACGGCACATGCCAAAAATTGCGTCACCTATTTGGACCGGAAATGAAATACTAGCTGCACTGCTGTCTCGCATGCTAACCGTTTCTTGTTTATCAGCCGCATGCATTTCATTACATTGTTTGCGCCGTAAAATGTTGTATTGAAAATCGGATTCAAAATTGCACGCGGAGTCGAAATTGTGCGGGTTGCTGGGAGTCCGGTCGTCGTGAAGTCCATGCGTTTGAAGTCCCAGACGGGCTCTATTCCCACGGAGCAGCGCGACACCAGTCTAGCTTCACGCCTGCATTTTTACTAGATTGCAGAAATATGCGAAAATAATGAAAGTCGTGGTCTGGCTATGTTGCATTTGTGCCTAGGTTTAGGTTTAGGTTTAGGTTTAGGTTCGGGTTTGAGTTTGGTTTGGTCTGGCTCCGTCCATCCGCATTGTTGTTGATTGGAGTTTTAGGGCGCGCCGACTACTGTGGTCATTTTGCACCCACCCATCCGCATTGAAAACATTTTTCATTACACTTTGAGGAGACCGGATTGTTAAACATAGTATGACCGTTCGCCATGCCTAACTCCGTCCGAAAATGCCTACTTAAATCCAGCAAAACATGCCGTCATCATAATATTCTACAAGCGAATTGGCCTACAAAAGAGGCCCCGACACAGGAGAAATCACATTCCAACAACTGCACTAAAGCCCGGCCGTCGAGCCCTGCGGCACATTGGGTAGGGCCCTGGCGTTATCGAAGTATCTGCTGTGATTGGTTACCAGTCAGCCCACTCATGACGGCAGCCATCTCGAGGTGAGGCAGTGCCATTTACAGTCCTGACTGTCTTTTTAGATATGAAATATTATCCCAGCGATCTGCTTATTTTTTGTCTTTGGGTAGACGAGGGGCACTTTCTAACGGCAGGTACGATGATATCCTGTTTCTTGCATCATTCCCAGACATTTTTGTGGCAGCCTCGCACGCTGGCGCTCTCCCTTTAACACAGGCATGCGGGAGGCTAGAAGGCTATGGTAGCATAGGCGCTGCAACAGTGTGTCGGCCACGGAGGCAAACGCCGTGACAAGCAACAAACGTGCAGGCCACGACACTTCGATTGTTTTGCGTTTCATGGGAGTGAAAATCTGCCCTTTGAAACCCATTTGTTCTTATTGTTCTGGAGAACAAATTCAAGCTGGGAGGCGTTTTCGGCGCACACGCACCCTTTCAGTTAAGGCCTCCAGCTGACTCCCTGATATTATCGATTGGATGCTCCTTCTCTCGGCTCTCGCCCCCTCCTTTCTCCCTTTCATCTGAAGATGGTCTGGAGACGACAGCTCGCATTCCCTCGACTCCCTCACCGTGTTCGTCCAATTCATTCATTGTCCAGAACCACAGACATTGCGATAGATCACTCATGACCTTTATCTCGAGATACTTACTTCCCCTCGGCAGTAAAAAGGGGTTTGGTGATTATATTGACCATTTTGTGGCTGCCGTGATCAGCAATACCATAACCATGTTCCAATATTGAACACCTTCACCATTCGCGTACGGGACAGAATACTGCATGACATCATCAAATTAGTACAACAGCACGATCGCTCTAAAGCGATTAGGAAATCCCATCACTACGCAAACCATGCACCACCACATGCAACAGCCGACGAGCTTCCCCGTCGGTGTTGGGTCGTGCTGCGCACAGCGCCATCTCCGGCTGAGACCGCGCCGGCCCGCGCGATCCGCGCTCCAATTAGCTCCCTCGCCGGCGCACCAGCCCGCCTGCCTCCGGTTTCCGGCGCGCTGCCCCGCTTTCCGAGCGCGTCCGTGCCCAATCGCGGCGGCCCGGCGCGCCGGCGAGCCGGCGCGGTTGTTGACGGACAGGCGGCGGTCGGGCGCCGCGGGCCGGCCGGGCGCACAAGG